TTGCATTGGCAATGCCAGTGAATTTTCACATGTTAAAACTAAGATAATTTGGAAGAAACGATCAAAAACATTCAACAGAATCGCGTCTACATTGTATGGGCCTTGTAATATGTATTCTGTATATAACATCAACGCGTTCACGCAACAATTCCCATTCACATGCACAAGCACAATACAGTGTGCATCGGTCATTTCAACATAACACGTATACAAAAAATAGAAAAACTCCCTATCCTACATGATGTTAATTTTGCGATAATCGGGAGGACCAGTGATGTGTCGATGGATTGAAGCTTGTTAACCAGACATCGACTGCTTTCTGTAGTGCTTCTGTAAGTGCTTAAATCCTAGACAATGGTTGCCTTTCAACCATCGTGAATAACACTAGATAATCAATGTACGCTACATTTGTGTGACAGTGTTTAACAGGATCAATCCAGACATATCAGATATACTGTAGAACTTGTTGAAACAGCTTCATGCCAGTGAGGCAAATTTGACTCAATGCAAGAATTAACAGAATCTTAATTTAGCTAAAGTGCAAACAATCTAATTGTGAGAATATACTTTATTTTAATTCGCTACATCTTGAATTGGCGAAATTACGGAATAGCTAAAATAATATGCTAGCTAAAAATACATGTTTTACAGTATATCACTACATGTAATACAGACGTATTGAAGTCCCCCTCTTCTGATTTAATCAAAACAGAGACTGAGAATGATGTCAACCATGAAAATTCAAACTAATCAGTAATTATTTACAAAATCAATTAACCTTTTATTCTCAGTTGATATTACATGTACTGTATTAATCATAAGGTCCCTGATAGAATATGACCTACCATAAATTGTATGAAATTACATGTACCAGAATAGTGCAACAATATAACTCATACAATTTTGGTGGAAAATACAAATTATTTCTATTACATAATGAAATATAGACTGATTGTTATGTCTTTATCACACTTGTGATGGACATGCTGAATTGTTTGAGTTAAAAAATGACCCATATTTTGCGAAACTTTGCCTAAAAAACAAGATAACCATATAATCTTTTAAAAAAGGCATCAAGAAGGAGTGTAAGGCCTTAATTTGGTTCTACAATGGGCATCACGAAATGTTGGAAAATTATAGTCAATCAAAAAAACTGTTCACATGACAACAAAAAATACTCATATAATAATAATTTTTTTTTTATTTTGTTGGTAACGAAAAGTATATTCCAAAAGAAGTTTTGAATAAAAACAAACACATTGCTTAGTAGCAAATGATCAGGGTACGGTAGCGCGCAATCCAGACATGCTGCATTTCACAAGTGAATGACTTACTTGTTTTCGAAGTGATGCAATTGTTGATTAGTACTCAGTAGTGATTATATTAATGTACAAAAAATAAATTTGTTGAATTGTTATGAAATGCAAGTAAAATTCAACTTAGTTTCATCGTAAGTGAATGATTTCTGTCACATGTAAACACTCAATGCGATACGATATCCGCCATGTTTTCCATGTACACAAGACCTGAAACAACTGTGTTTATTGACCTGATAGGTCAAGTTGCTAATTAACCAATCAAAATGCTGGAGGCTGCCAACATGATATTGCATTTAAATATGTTAATGACAGTTCAGCGACTTCATGGTAAAAGCAATATGGAAGAGATTTACCGATGTTTTAGTGTGATTCTTTGGCTTCATTTTCCATGGGAAAATAGCATGATTTTTTTTTAAATCACGAATTTTTCTTTTTAATCGGCCCGATTTAGAAAAATTGCATGTTTAAATCTTATTCACATATTAAAATTGACGAATCACATTGACAAATGACATTGACAAAGCAAAGGCGTATGGCTGTGATAAAATTACTCATTCACACTATCAGAGGTAAAAAAAAGACAGAAAATTTGAAAGAGTTAGTGTTATTCATCCTGTCTAATAAATGTATGTTTTTTTTACAGTTGCAGTCAGCTTGCAACATATGAAACAGATTGGAACATACAATTAGGAAATCTGTTATATCACAGAGTGAGATTGGAACATACAATTAGGAAATCTGTTACATCACAGAGTGAGATTGGAACATACAATTAGGAAATCTGTTATATCACAGAGTGAGATTGGAATATTTGACAATTAGGAAGTCTGCTATACACAAAGTGAGATTGGACCATACAACAATTAGGAAATCTGTTATATCACAGAGTCAGATTGGAACCTACAACAAACAGTATGAAAAATTGGAAAACACCAGGACAAGACGATGTTTTGTGAACAAGGTGACAAATACTTTGCAAGTTATAAGCAGTGAGTATTGTAAATATGAAACAACATCATTGTACTCATTGTGAGAAAAGTTTTATCCATAAAAGTAAACTCAAAAAGCATGTGCGAACACATACAAATGAAAAGCCTTATCACTGTGAGCAATGTGAGAAAAGTTTTCCCCAGTCAAGTCATCTCAAACAGCATATGCGAACACATACCAATGAAAAGCCATATCATTGTGAGCAATGTAAGAAATGTTTCGCCCAATCAAGTACTCTCAAAGTGCATATGCGAACACATACCAATGAGAAGCCTTATCGCTGTGAGCAATGTCAGAAATGTTTCTCCCAATCAAGTCATCTCATACAGCATGTGCGAACACATACAAATGAGAAGCCATATCATTGTCAGCAATGTGAGAAGAGTTTTCCTCAGCCAAGTACTCTAAAAAAGCATATGCGAACACATACCAATGAGAAGCCATATCATTGTGAGCATTGTGGGAAAAGTTTTGCCCAATCAAGTACTCTGAAACTGCATATACGGATACATACAACCGAGAAGCCTTATTACTGTGAGCAATGTGACAAGAGATTTACTCAGTCAATCCATCTTAAACGACATCTACAAACTCATACCGATGAAAAGGCTTATCAATGTGAACATTGTGAGAAGAGTTACAGCTGGTTAAGTCATCTCATTAAGCATACACGAACACACACCAATGTGAAACGTAATCAGTGTGTGCTATGTGAGAAGAATTTTATTAATGCAAATCATCTTAAACGACATTTACGAACACACACTAATGAGAAGCCTTATCACTGTGTTCTCTGTGAGAAGAGTTTTGCCCAGTCGAGTGCTCTCAAACAGCATATTCGAACACATACAAATGAGAAACCTTATAACTGCAAATATTGTGACAAGAGTTTTGCCCATTCAAGTACATTTTATCAGCATAGACGAACACATACCAATGAAAAACCTTACCATTGTGAGGTATGTGGGAAAAATTTTACTAATTCAAGTAGTCTTAGAAAACATGTGATTTTACATACGAATGACATGCCTTATCACTGTGAACATTGTGGGAAGAGTTTTGCCCAGTCAACTCATCTGAAAGTGCATATTCGAACACATACTAATGAAAAACCTTACCAATGTGAGATATGCGAGAAGAGGTTTACTCAGTCAAGTCATCTAAAAAGACATGCACAAATACATACCAATGAATTACCTTGTGAGAGCAGTCATTCTCATCCACTTTATTCCCAACATCATATGGAAATACATACAATTGAAAAACAATATCTTCATGAGCAATGTTGGAAATTTTATTTGTATAATAGCACGACGAAGAAGAGACAATTTCTTGAAAATGAGCATCAAAATAAACTGAAGAATTTTACTTATGTTGATTCAATTACTCAAACTGCTACTCCAATATCTAATTTCGTAAATCAGTTCAAATGTAAACAGTGTGAGTGTCTATATAGCCACTTATTTAGTCAAAGAAGGACGTTAATTATTCATAGAGGAGAGAAATGTACTTATAGATGGGAGACCTTAAATGATAGCAAACAGTTAACTATCACACTTAACAATCGTGATGAGTGTGCAAGTGAGGAAGAACAGAAACAATTGTTTATTGTGCATGCTGGGTTTATTGTTGAAAAGAGAAGAGATGATAAAATGGAAGAATTCAGATTATACAGCCACATCATTGATAGGCACTGAAGTTTAAGTTCTTCGAATCAACCCAATATGTAGTATTCTCAACCATTTTACAGATTAGAATATAACTTGGTACATATATACTCTAGAATGATTTACAAACCCAGTTAGTTTTTGGTTGCAATCTTGGCCTGTCCGCCCATAATATAACTCTATTAAACTCACTACAAGGAGTTGAATCCATGCAGACATGGAATCCTTTGGTTTTCAAGGTAAATGTTTAATATTGATTAGTTCTGATCTTTTTGGTCGTATACAGAGAACTGTGGTTAATGGAAAATGTTCTCAGTGGGCACCTATTTTGTCGTCTGGTGTACCACAAGGATCTATAATTGGTCCTTTATTATTTGTATTATATGTAAATAATTTGCCACCATGTCAAATAAGGTTCTTTTTGAAGATGACTCAAAAATGTACAGAGATGTTAATTATATGAATGATGCATTGCTATTACAAAAAGACTTGGATAGGGTGATTGCATTTGTGTTCAAAATGGCATTTAAAGCTTAATATGCTTAGATGTTGTGTAATTTCATTCACAAATAAAAAGAACAAGTTTGGTTACAATTATGTAATTCAGGGATTTCCGTTTGAAGCGAGAGACATCGGTCAAAGATCTGGGTATTGAAGCTTGACGGCTCTTTGAAATTTTCCAACCATATCAATATTATTGTTAAAAAAGTTTTTAAAAAAATTGGGGTTTTTGAAACGCCACTGTAAGCATTTTAATAGTATTAGCCTTTTAAAAACATTGTATATTTTAATTGTGAGAAGTCACCTTGAGTATTGTTCCATTTTCTGGAACCTATGCAGAATAAATTAGTTGAAAAAATTTAACGGGTACAAAAGAAATTTATCCAATTTTTATGTTTTAAATATAATAAGCAATTTTTATCTTCAAATCATAATGAGTATTGTAAATTTGTTAGCCCTCCCCCTTTATGGGTTAGGAGAAAGGTTGTTGACCTATGTTTTTTACATAAATGTGTTCATTCAAATATTGATTTTTCGCATTTCTTATTCAAGAATTAATGTAAGGAAATATTTTTTTTTTCCCACGAGTCTTATCGCTTTTTAAATGACATTATTAATGACTCGCCATCAATTGATATTTTTAATAGGTTTAATGTTTTTAAGAGTAGTATATTAAAGTTTTTTAACAAGTAATTATGTTGTTTGTTGGTTTTCTTTATTTGTGTGTAATGTAAGGTTTGTTTAACCCATTTTGTGTATTGCTTTATTTTGCAGCTCTTGTAATTCGGAATTTTGTCCTGAAGGTCATCCGATTGAATAAATAAATAAAAGCTATGATGTTTTTGACTCTTGTTCGAAGCACACATTGGGAGTCTTTGCAGTTAGTATGTCTGTATGTGTGTGTGTCCGTCTTTTCCACTGATATCTCAAGGACCATACATCGGTTTTTGACGAAATTGGTGCATAGATGCAGATTTGATTATGTTTTGATAGAAATCCATGCATATTAATTACCTAATTTGCATGATAATCAGTGTGATATTCACCTCAACCCGGATACTTTTCTGATTGTAAACTATGGTTAAGTGTGGTACAGTATACACCTCAACCTGGGTACTTTTCTGATTGTAAACTATGGTTCAGTGTGGTATACACCTCAACCCGGGTACTTTTCTGATTGTAAACTATGGTTCAGTGTAGTATACACCTCAATCCGAATACTTTTCTGATTGTAAACTATGGTTAAGTGTGGTATACACCTCAACCTGGGTACTTTTTTAATTGTAAACCATGGTTCATTGTGGTGAACACCTCAACCCGGATACTTTTCTGATTGTAAACTATGGTTCAGTGTGGTATACACCTCAACCCGGGTACTTTTCTGATTGTAAACTATGGTTCAGTGTGGTAAACACTACAACCCGGATACTTTTCTGATTGTAAACTATGGTTCAGTGTGGTATACACCTCAACCCAGGTACTTTTCTGATTGTAAACTATGGTTAAGTGTGGTACAGTATACACCTCAACCCGGGTACTTTTCTGATTGTAAACTATGGTTCAGTGTGGTATTCACCTCAACCCGGGTACTTTTCTGATTGTAAACTATGGTTCAGTGTGGTATACACCTCAACCCAGGTACTTTTCTGATTGTAAACTATGGTTCAGTGTGGTATACACCTCAACCCGGATACTTTTCTCATTGTAAACTATGGTTCAGTGTGGTATTCACCTCAACCTAGATACTTTTTTAGCTCCGCTGTCGACTTTGTCGAGCGGAGCTTATTATATGAGTAATTGTCCGTCGTCATCTGTGTCAATGTTTTACTTTTTCGACTTCTTCTTGAAAACTACAAGCCTGAATGCTTTGATACTTGGTGTATATGTACCTTGGGTAGACCTCTCTCAGATTTGTTCATTTTATGATTATGTCTTCAATTCTCTAATTTTGTGAATATTTTTGTAAAAAGTGATATTTTCAACTTCTTGTTAAAAACCGCAAGTCTGATTGCTTTGATATTACATATATAGATACTACATGTGGACATCTTTCAGATTTGTTCATTTTGTAATGATATCTTCAATTCTCTAATTTTGGTGAATGTTTTTGTCATTTTTGGTAAAAAGTGATATTTTTGACTTCTTGTTAAAAACCACAAGTCCAATTGCTTTGATATTACTTACATAGGTACTACATGTAAACCACTCTCAAATTTGTTCATTTCATGATGATATCTTCAATATTTTTATCATTTTTGGTAAAAAGTGATATTTTTGACTTCTTGTTAAAAACCACAATCATTTATAGTGAAAAATGTTATTTTTGAATTCTTGTTGAAAACAGCAAGTCCCATTGCATTGATATTATGCATATTCTTCATTTTCTAATGATATCTTCTGTTCTTTAATTGAAATGTGCAGTGCTAACAGCAGAGCTATCTCAGCCGAGAGGCTGCTTGTTGATTGTAAACTATGGTTCAGTGTGGTATACACTTCAACCCGGGTGCTTTTCTGAATGATTCAATCAAGGAGGAACAGAAACAGCAAAATCATTGTCTATCAATAATAATTAATTACGAATGAAAAACAACTGATATGAATAAATTAGAAAACACGATAAAATCTGCAAGATTATTTTTTAGATTAAATATAACTTAACCTTCTTGAGCCATTTTTCACGTAAAGCAAACATTTCTTCAAACGTTTCTTATGCATGATTGCGCAGACTTTTTTAAAATTTGCGTGAATAAACCATCATTTTTCTTATAAAAAAAAAGTTATTAATAGGTTTGTTCATAGAGGGCGATGTTGCCATATCCTCCATTTTGTTTGGTCGTGTTTCATCACATGCATCGTATGGGTATATATTTCTCACCAAAGTCGAATTTATTTATTTACGTAAGTATATTACTTGCATGGATAATAGGTAAGGTGGTCATGATTTGTCAAGCAGTGTCAAACGAGGAGGAGAGCTTGAAATCTCGATATATCGTCGTCGTTTGGTTGAAACACATCTTGTTTTTGAGTTTGAATATCAGCGTAGCGAGAACGGATTTTTCCAGTTCCGAGATAAACACTGCATTTATACTGTCATGCACCACTTGTGTTTGAAGGTTGACAAGCTGCGTCTTGTAGAGAACCCGTAATGTAAACAGAAGTTTTATTCGAATTAAATCCCTGATGAATCCCAGAAGTGTTTACACGTTGTGGGCGCACTTCACAGTAGAAAACTTGCATGCTAAGGGATATCCCATGTGATATATCGGGAGGAGTTTTTTGCTAATATTTTTTACATTTGAATATGAAGTAAAACAAAATTACTATGATTAGAACGTTATATCAAAACATGCAAATTACTACAAAAATCATAGCCAGCATGTAGCACTATGATTACAAATGTACAAATCATTTTTAAAATGTACAAATCATCTATTGTCAGCAATTTTTTTTCCCACCTGACAATTTTTGTTTTGTACTGTAGTCCATTTTTTTTTTAAATGAGGGTTCATAAAATCAAAAGAATTCTTTCCTGATCACATAACATCAAAGTTTATTATTGAAACATCGTCTTGTTTACCATAAATAGATGTGACACTACATCTTACACTACATCGCATTCCCACTTAGTTTGTGAAAGTGGCTTAGTAAAAAAAGCATTAAATTTTTCTATATCAGACCAGGGCATTTGTGTTGTTTTTCTTTTAAACAATTGTCCTGTACAAAGAATGTTACACCTTCAGAGATTACATATACAGAGAGTGTTGCCCCAACAGAGCTTTCACCTACAAATATTACACGTACAAAGTGTGTGACACGTACAGATATTACATGTACAACAGAGTGACAAAATATTCCTAATTCTAACTGTTTTATTTTAGCTCAAATGATGTTATGTTGCAAATATTTCCTAGCTATTGAATACTGAGTACTTAAACACAAGGCTAAAACTAAAATTACTATGAGCACACACAAATGATATCTGAGAGAGGGGTCTGCTTAGCGCTTCAGTTTTTAAACACCTGATCAAAGGGATTTTTTTTTGTATTTAGTAAACTGAACATGCAATGTTTTTTTCTCAAAAACATTTAGTGTGCAATTATTATTTTTATTGTTGTTCTTACTTGCATTTTTGTCCTGTGAGTGTGTGTTTGTAAAATATTTTCCCTTAAATGTTCATGCCCCCTAGATTTTCAAATGGTCAACTGCTTACTTTAATTTCCATATCAATTTATCTCATTAAAAAAAATATGAAATTGACGATATTAAACTGAATACAGAGTAACACATTAATTCTACCACATCTTGCACATATTACAATTTCATGAAGACATGAATGTTTTTTATGGAAATTTATAAAATATTTATAATATTTACCATGGAAAACCATCATGCTTCATTCAAATCCAAAGAATACGCTTTCATTGGTTATTGATAGCATTTGGTAAAACCAATTACCCAGGAGTCTTTGTGGATTTTCTTCAATCAATGGACAATGCACTGTATGTATGGAAAATAAATACTTTATCTAAAAACATTCATCTAGTCTTTGATATTAATTGTAAAATTTTAAAATGTAGTTTAAATGAAATGATAATGACACCAATGTTTTTTTCTTCAAATTGTTTGTTTTGCCATTTTTCAACATTTCCTTTATGAGGAGCTTAACATATTTTTGTCTACATTCTAATTATGTGATTACTTTCTAACTTAAATATATGGTTAATCTGTATACATAGATGACCTTCCTCACCTTATGCTATGATCTTCCAACCATATAGTGTAATCTTCCCTATCCTTTGTAGTCCATCTCTCCATCTTATATGCTATGATCTATCTACCGTTATACTGGGCAAGCCATCTGTAGATTAACTATTTTTTTGTTTTGATTTTTATCATAGAGTGGAATTGGAACTTATAGCAATTAGGAAATCTGTTATATCACTGAGTGGGATTGGAACGTACAACAATTTAGAAATCTGCTTTATCACAGAGTGAGATTGAAACCTGCTATACCACAGAGTGAATTAGCAAATCTGCTATTTCAGTGAGTGAGATTGGAACATACAACAATAAGGAAATCTGTTATATCACAGAGTGAGATTGGAACATACAACAATAAGGGAATCTGTTACATCACAGAGTGAGATTGGAACATACAACAATAAGGGAATCTGTTATATCACAGAGTGAGATTGGAACATACAACAATAAGGGAATCTGTTATATCACAGAGTGAGATTGGAACATACAACAATAAGGGAATCTGTTATATCACAGAGTGAGATTGGAACATACAACAATAAGGGAATCTGTTATATCACAGAGTGAGATTGGAACATACAACAATAAGGGAATCTGTTATATCACAGAGTGAGATTGGAACATACAACAATAAGGGAATCTGTTATATCACAGAGTGAGATTGGAACATACAACAATAAGGGAATCTGTTATATCACAGAGTGAGATTGGAACATACAACAATTAGAAAACATGCTGTGTTTGTGTTATTTATTAGTAAAGTCATAACCTGCTAGACAATGGTAAAAGATGATGGTTTGTTAAGTGATTTGCTTCAGTCTTTTCAGCCGTGAATATTAAAATATTGAAATGCATCACTGCAAGCATTGTGAGAAAAGTTTTACACAGTCAAGTAATCTCAAAGTACATATAAGAACGCATACCAATGAAAAGCCCTATCACTGTGAGTATTGTGAGAAGAGTTTTGCTCGGTCAAGTCATCTCAAAGAGCATATAAGAACACATACCAATGAGAAGCCTTATCGATGTGAACATTGTGTGATGAGCTTCACCCAGTCAAGTAATCTAAAGCGCCATATACGAACACATACCAATGAAAGGTCTTATCAATGTGAGCACTGTGAGAGGAGTTTTATATATTCCAGTAATTTAAAACAGCATATACGAATACATACCAATGAGAAGCCTTATTATCATTGTGACCACTGTGAGAAAACTTTTATATATTTAAGTAATCTAAGACAGCATGTGCGAACACATACCAATGAAAAACCTTATTATCATTGTGAACATTGTGAAAAAAGTTTTTTATATTCATGTAATCTAAAACAGCATATGCGAGTACACGAGAAGCCTTATCATTGTGAACAATGCAATATGAGGTTTGCCCATTCAAATCATCTAAAATACCATGTACGAACACATGAGAAGCCTCAATATTGTGTGAAGAGTTTGAGTTATCCAAAGTATGTCAATCAGCATATGCAAGCACAGATAATTTACCAAAGATGTCATCATGAACAATGCAGGAGATTTTATTTGTACAGTAGCACAAAACTAAAGAGACACCATGCTGAGATTCAACATCAAAATAAACTAAAGTATTTTACCTACGTTGATTCACATAAACGAATTTTTACTGTAATACCCAATTTCGTAACACAGTTAAACTGTGATCAGTGTGAGTGTATATATAGTCACTTATATAGTCAAAGACACTCATTAATTATTCATAAAGGAGAGAAATATACTTGTAGATGGGAAACTGTAAATGATAGCAAACAGTTAACTGTCACACTTAACCATCGAGATGAATGTTCAAGCAAGGAAAATGAGGACAAATTATTTGTTGTGCATGCTGGCTTTATTATTGAGAAGAGAAGAGATGATGAAATGGAAGAATTTAGATTATACAGCCACAGGGTTGATAAGTGCTGAAGATTTGTTTGCTTCAATGCATTGCAATATTGAATATTGAGGAGTATGAACAATATGATTTGTTTATGTACAGTCATAAATTCTCAGTAATGAGAATAACTGATGTTCAATCCAGGTTGTCATGAACATCAGAAGGCTGCTATGTCAATTTTTGTTTTGTTGATTACAAACTAGAGTTACACAAACAAGATGAAAACTAATTCAAAAGTAGTATCAGTCATTTATCAAAATTAGTAAGCATGTACAAAGTTTCAGCGTATTTGTGCGCAAACGTACAAATATATAAACATAAAAACACCAGTCAATTATTATGTAATTCAGCTAATTAACAATGCACAGATTAGTTTCAAATATTTACCAGTCATGCAACTACACAGGCTGTTAAGTGTTTTAATATCCTGTCATAAACGTTATGATGTACACAACATATGTTGCATTCATTGTCAAACCAATTGATTTTACATTGCATATCTTTGTGCATAATATGAACTGTTTTTTTGTGCATAATATAAATTGGTCTTATATATAATTGTCATAATATAAATTTATTGATCCACGTAACACTAGTAATTGAGCTCCCATCCTCCCCCTCTCATCCCTCTAGATCTCACACTTTTCCTTATGACCCCTTCTGATCACCCTGTTTCATTTACCATCCCTCTCATTTCCCCTCGCTCATGACACCTGCCCCTCTCCCTCTCGCATAAAACATCTCACAGCCTCTTGCTCTCATTTGGGCCCTCTCATAAACAGTCCCTGTTGACCTCCCTCTTGTTTACAACATCTCCCAGCCTCACCCTCTTGCTTATGGCACCTTTTATCTGCAACTCCTTCTGGTCTCATCCATGTTTACAGTACAACCTCTCCCCATCTTGTTTACATCCTCCCTTGACCACCTTTCCACTTAAGGCCGTTTCAGTCCCCTTCTCCCACATACCATCTGACCCCCCATTTCGTTTATCATCCCTCTCTTTTTTCTCCTCTCGTTTTTGACCACCTCCCTGCCTCTTCATGTATGATCCCTCCAGTCCTTCGCTCTTGATAATGACCAAACCTGGTCCCCTCTTCTTACAAACGACCCTCTATCCTCCTCTTCTTGCTAACTGACCCTCCTAGTCTCTCACATACAGATTCTCCCAGCCCATCGTATTTATGGCTTCTTTCTCCTCTCCTCTCCCACCTATTGCTTAAGACCTTCACTGTGTCCCTCTCTCGCTTATTATACCTCCCAGCCGCTTCTCTCTTACCACTACTCCCGGCCTTCTGCTCTTGTGTAAACACCTCCCAGCCTCCTATCAATTATGACCCTTCCTGGCTTATAGTCTCTCCACTCTCGCTTACAGCTTCTCTTGGCTTCTTCCTCTTGCTTCTATCATTTACTTACTCTCATTACAGATCCCCTTCTTGCTTATGGCATCTCCCAGAATTTTCAGTATAGACCCTCCCACGTATATATTTTTACAGCTTCTGTTGACCCACTCTTGTTAACACATTCATTGAACTTTTGTTAAGACCCTTCCCCTCTCTTAATTGTTTACCAAACTCTCAGCCTTCCTATTTTGCCTTTGATCCTTCACGACTCCCTCTCATTTACAAACTCTCCCAAGCTTTCTTCTCATTTACGGCAACCTCCTGCCTCTCTTTTTTACTTACAGCCCTCCCGGGCTACTATTTTTGCTTATGAACCCTCCCTGATTTTTCTTGCTTACAGGCCCTCTCAGATTCACCCCTTGCGTACCACTTCTTGTGATCTACCCTCCTCATTTATGCTTCCTCCTAGCTCCCCGTCTTGCCTATGGCCACTTCCTCTTGTTTCATACCATCCATATCACCCCCTGCTTATTATGATCAATCCCAACACCTTGCAATCATTTACCAACCTCTTTTTGTCAGCTATGGCTTCCCTTGTTCTTTCCATCTCCATCCCGGCCTCTCCTCATGTTTACAGTCCCCCTCAACCACTAATTTTTGGCTTCACATGATCTAACTTCACACCCATGTCAGTCTCTTTCTCTCGCTTATCATTTGTTTCAGCCTGCCCCTTCTCGTGCATGACCTCTTCCCCCTCCCTGGCCTCCTCTCATTACGACCCATCCAGGCCTCTCCAAATTGTTTACTGACTCTTTTTCACCTATGGCCTCCCTTCTTGCTTATGGCTTCTCCTGTCCACCCCTATTTGGTATACAGATCTTCCTGGCCTTCACTCACCCTCTCACTTAAGACACCTGCCAGTCTTGTCCGCTTTCTTATTGTCCATCTCTGCCTACCCCTCTTGCTTGCAGTTCCTTTTGGCATTCCACTTTTCATTACAGGTCCTCTCGGCTGCCTCATATTTTTACAACACATTCTTGCCCATCCCAATTGTTAATCAACCTTTCTTTGTTGCCTACATTCCTTCTCAGCCTCACTTTCTTGAATACAGACACTCCCATCCTCCCAACACATTTACGTTCCTTCTCAATCACTTGTTATTATTCTCAAGATCACAGTTCTAGCACCCACAACTATTCTCAGCCTACTTTGTTCCCTTGCTGACACTTCTGGCATGTCCCTCAGTCTTCCTTCTTGTTCATGGCTTTACCTGGTTCTCCATCTCACAACCTTTCTTCTCATTTACATTTTCTTTTTTTCAACTCTTGCTTGCAATCTCTCCTGACAGCCCCATCTCACTTATGGTCCGTCTCAGCCTATCCTTCTCGCTTATCATTCTTTTCGGCCTGTTCCTTCTTGTGTATGGGCCTAGCTCCTCTTCTCGCTCAGCATCTCCTGGCCTCTTCATTTTGCTTATGGACCCCTAAGCTTGCCTCCTCATTTATGGCTGCACCCAATCTCTCGGACATCTACCAGCTCACACAATGTCCCTCCCTGCCTTACCCTCTTGTGACCCCTCTTAGAATTCTGCACTTGCTTACAGGGCCTTATGAAGGTCTCCTATCTCTTGCAACCCATCCTGCCCTCTCCTAATTGAGTCCCCCCCCCGGCACCTCACACATATCTCTCCCGCTTACCATTGCTCCTGGCTCCTGTCCTCTTCTTCTCATTTACGACCCTTCCCCATCTATTTTACAGCCCATATCGAACTTGTTTACGACCCTTTCCAGCCTGCCCCACATGCTTACAGTTCCTCTCCTGGCCTTCACTCCTTATCCATTAGGCCACAGAGCCTTGGTAATTCTTTTCATGTGTGCAATACGTGATGGGTCGTAATCGGACTGGTCACTGAACTCAGTTTATTACTAGTAAATAAATTTATAAATGAGCAAATGAGCTAAAAATCAACTGAACAATCACAGCATGAGAACCCCAAATAACCTCCATGCAAATTGTATGTTTTATTAGAACTGCTCATAATTATTAGAACTATTCAAAAACAAATTCGGAATGTATTCTGTTGAAAACAGACTTTTTCAAAATAATAAGTATTCAAATTACATTGCCAAATCTTGATGATTTTAAAATATGGAATATTTTCCGTGACTTGATCCTCCAAGGAGAATTATATGTACAACGAGACCATAGGTTTGTCTATGTCATAATGCAAATAAATGCATCGGAAATGACACAGTCTGTGTGGTACCTTTTCAAAGTAATTCTGTTATGAGCTTAAACACCACATATATTAACGAAAAAGACTATGTGGGAAAGTAAATAATTTCATGAAATTTCAGTAAAAATCAAATGTGTCAATTTAAGCCGGTGTGGTTTCCAATGTGATGGTAGATTACATCAGTAAAGTGGTGATACAGTTCTTGCTGGTGGAAACAAATGTCAAAAGGGGTAAGACAATCATCATCTATATCTATGCCTAGTACTCATAACAGACAGACAGTTTGACACAGACCGGTGCGAGTTCATTTATGTTTTTGTGTTGAATGTGATCGGCCAATGCAAGTCAGAGATGCGGCTTTGGAATAGCTTTCGTTAAAACAAAATGAGTCTCAGTCGGCCATTTGCAGGGGAAACAAGAATGTTTTATTCATTGTTTTTATCGGACACTTTGTTATTTCATGTATACATATGCTCGTTTATTTAATCAATTCTATTTTTAACTTTAATAATAATAAACGTCATTGATACAATTATTTAAAAACACCGCTAATAATCATCATATAATTGATACATAAATTACACTCGTTAGAGCAGTTAGTTTTGAATGCAGTTTCTGATTTTGAGCCCATCGTTGACTATACAGTTCTATTCTATTATGTCAAGGCGTGTAGAGGAAGACACTCGGAAGGCAATTATTATATACTTTTCAGGTGGAAAGAGTTTGCGCAAGATGGCCAAGGAAGTTGGTCTAGCGACGGTTCAAATGATTGTGAGATTTCCGTTGCAGCGGTTGGTTTCATTCTGACAGGAGTTGCGACCGTCCTTGACTGAAGTCTACACTAGCAATCGGCGAGTTTATCGAATTGTGTCTATTTAGAATATTTGAAACTGGTATATGGTGAGTTGAAGAAGATGAAAATAAAAGTAGAAGATTCTAGGGAAAGATTGACTTGGCGACGAGTGTTCTGGCAAGCTGTCAATAGGACACATTCACAACTCTAATATTCTTAATATAAGTTCAATGACATAACAACAAACGTTATTGTAAACTGTAATTAGTATTAGGAGTAACACGCCTTTTATTTGATGTCATCGTCAAAATAAGTCTGAAAACCTTCGTAATTGTCATCGTCACTGGACATCTCGTTCACACATTCCGGAATGTTTGGCTGCGTAGTGGTTAAATAAGGCACTCTATCGTTAAAACCACTACTGTCAATTTCTTCATCCACGTTTTTTGGAGTCAGATATCCGCAGGTACTAGGATCACCAAAGTAGAATTCCTCGGACGATGCACGTACTCTGCAGGGGTTGTCTTTGGCCATCACGGACAGTTCAATGCTTTCCATGTTTTTATATCCCGCATTTCTTTTTGAGTTTAAAACATGTGGGTTGTTGAAGTAGTCATAAAACTGGCGAAGCATCTCGTCTAATTGATCCCGAAGCTGATCAAAATTCGGCCTCTCATCTGGGTCTTCCCGCCAACATTGCGTCATGAGTCCATACCTGGTAAAATGGATAGTTAAGGTTGGTAATATTATAGTAGATCGGAAATAAGATTTCTTTGTTTTTACCATCTACAGTGAGTACATGTTCGACATTTGTACAATGTAACGATGTATTTCATACCAGCTACATACTTGCATGGAATCCGTATCGATCCCGACGTGATACGATAACCGCGACACTTTAAAACTTTATTTTGTAAATTGCCGCTTCCGGTGAGACGGACAATCACGTTGTTTTAAATATTCAGTACAGAGCTGTTTTTGGTAGCTCATGTTGTCTTATAGGTTGTTATTTTCCCACCGTACCGAGAATGGTCATGTGCAAGTTTTCAGAATTATTAGTTTATTATTTATCTATTATTATTTATAATTTAAGTTACACATATTTCATCAATCTAGGATCACTATTTTGGCGACAAAATAAAGTTTTTGAATTATTCTTCAGGGAACACATTTATCAAATTTAACCTCACAGTTTATTCAGTTCAATTGAATGTATATACAACTTACATCACAGATGAGCAGCCGCGTGGTTTCGACATTCTATATCCGTTTCGCAAGTTTATCAACACTTCTCGTGGAGTCATTCCGGGATATGGTCGACCGCCCCTTGTAACAATTTCATATAGTACAATGCCGAATGACCACCTGAATACAAATTTAAAACAAAAACGTAAACAAAGCATAAACAATAAGCCACTAATAAAGATGCTCTCCATAACACAACGTCGAGTAATAATACAGTCACGTGACATGGTCTCTTACACATCACTTTGCGTGCTACAATTCCCTTCTAGGTTGGTTTCGGGACTAACCCAGTAGATGGGTCTCTTTTTGTCTTCAGGAAGCTCAATCCGACCTTGTAGATACACGTCATCAGTCAGTCCGAAATCAGTTATTTTGATTAGCAATTCTTCACCGACAAGAACATTCCTCGCAGCCAAATCGCCATGCACATACTTCTGGTTGGCCAAATAATCCTGAAAATATGTATAGAAAGATGTAGACGAAGTTCATGAATAACAATTACAAAGCGGACATTCAACGCGTAGTGTATACGGATGGAATATTAAATGTGACTCAATGATATTTATCGAATTATTGCCTTACCATGCCCATAGCGATTTGTCTCCCAATTTGGTAATAGTTCTTCTCACACAAGTTATAAATTGCATCCTCCATTTGGAATTTATTCTTAAAAACAGAGGAATAGAATTTCATCCATATCCGCTATACTATGTTCGTGGTTGGACAGTGTGCTGCATGATATTATATTGGGTCTAAGCCAGCACACTGTTACGATATACAACGACGCCTAGCATTCCTTGTTTCAGCTCTTTCACGGACACTCTCATATACGCTTGCCTCCGGTCCTCCATATAACGAAATAGTTATGGTTATGATACACAAAAGTTACATTTACCTTCTTGGATCGGCAAAGAAATTTCTTAAGATCACCATACTTCATATATTCGGTAATAAGAAGGTATGGCTCTTGTGAAGTGCAACATCCAAGAATACCCAAGATGTGTGGATGCTCCCCTATCTCTTGCATCAATTGAATTTCACATAGCATTTCTTCTTTTTGAGACTTGGCAGAACCTGTCATCGGGAAGGTTTATACAGATTATGGCGTATCAGATGGTCTTCCACTTGAATCATTCATAATCCGGATATTAAGATAGCCTTGTTCGAATGCATTGCATCATTGCCTTGTAGTTTGTTTCACATTGGATTATGGGTTAGTCAAAGTCAACTTTGTATAGTTCAGATAAAAAATTACAAATCTTGAAAATATGGTTATCTATGATTAATTCAAACAATTCTAAAAGACCAAAACATTATTACGCGTGATTTATCAAAATAAAATAAAATATGATAATTTCCCAGAATGAGAAATGACGTAGAGTCTGTCATTAAATATGAGGGTGAGTGACCCATATATACATCCTATTTCTTCCTAAGATTTGTTCTCCGCTAAATTCCTGTTTTAGTTTAAAATGTTCTCTAGACAGACAATTTTGTTGTTTGAATTTCTTTTTCATCTAACAGTGCTTTTGTAACATATCCGTCGTGCATCAGTAATGTCAGTATATTTTTACTCACTTTTCAATTTTTTAACCGCAACAAGAAGATCCCCATCTTTTCCAGCAATACCAGTTGCAACTGCCTTGTACACGACTCCGAAATTACCGCTTGCAAGTTCAGACACATATCGCAGACGATTTAAAGGAAATTCATACTTTGATACAAGACTGTGTCCTTCCCCGATAGATTGTTCATCTAAAATAAATGATAAAATATAAGTTGCGGACAAATTAACGTAGTACATTATAGAGTAAACTGTTGTAAGTGCTTTACTACACCAGTTGTACTAAGTTTGTATAATCATTTACATATCATAAATACCTTGTAATATGTCCGTTGTTCGATTTTGAACGTTTGTCCTTATCAGCCCTAATGCATTGGATCGCCTAGCAACGCATATTACGATTGCAATTAAAGCAATCAATAACGCGCCACCAGCGGCACTCACGCCAACGATGATGGCAGCAATCGGCTGTTCTGTCACGCTATTAGTCTCATTACGGTGTTCAGAATACAGTGATGTAGTTGGATGATTCGTAGGACTAAGTGACACAATGGATTGACGATACGTATGTTCTACAAGATATCAACAAAAACGATACATAATTGCAATCTTTAGATTGATGCATGACGATAAGGTAAAGAGAGTAAAACCAAAGACGCTAGAAATCTTTTTCTAGAAATCTTTTTCCAGTGTCTTTGGTGAACCCGACTTTTTTTTAGAAATGTTAACCTTCATTTTTTGATATTCTCTTCTCCCATATGTTGTCATCATACTGGCATTGACTTACTGGTGTGTTTGACAATCATCGATATATAAGATGAAAGTGCAGCGGAAAAAGAAACTGTGCAGGTCATTGTTGATCTAAATACTCGACAGTCGACTTTGTTGTCTGGGTTTTCTGTGAATTATTTATTTATTTAGTATGTAGTTTATTGTTTGAAAACATAACACTACTACACAGTGGAAAGACAGGACAGGATCAAAGGGAACAGTGGAGTAGAATAAGCAACCAACGCAATTTGCTCGATGGTAGCGCCATGCTGATACAGTACTTGTGTCTCTAATAATCCGTACTAAGTGTTACACTAATGGGTAAATTAAGGTAGACATAGTGTCATTACAAAGGTAACCAAAGTGAACAGATAATAAAACATTAATGTACCTAGTCTGTTATATGTGAATGCAAATGACGCTCCTCCTTTCGTGAAACTGAGCACCATATATAGGACACTGTACTGCACTACTCCCCACGGAAAATAACTTTCTTCCACTTTGAATTATTATGCAATCCAATAATGTAGTGAACGTATGCAATTTCTTACGCAATATGAGTATAAATAATATTTCCATAAATTAATACCTATTTATTATCCAATTTTTACGATATAAAAAGTTAAATTAATGTATCACCTGTTTTCTTGGCCACGGTTGTTGCATGTTGTGCGGCCGAGTTTCGTTTGTGTGTTGTGGTATACGCTGTTACTGTGTTTCGTTTGTGTGTTGTGGTATACGCTGTCACTGTGTTTCGTTTGTGTGTTGTGGTATACGCTGTCACTGTGTTTTGGTGATTTGTTTTTTTGGATTTCTTAGTAGCTTCATCGTTAGTTACTAACTCATCTTTAATGAGAGATAGCAGCGGATACCTCGAACTTCCTTGGTGGCAATTTGCATTGAAGTCGTCCATGTCAATAGTCCATACCATCGTTCCAGCCAACTGTTCTTGTTTGATCCAATTGATCTATCGCAAAACGAATTAGGAAATAAGTTGACATAATTCAGGGACGCTGACCATTATTGCGCGTTATGAATCACCACTGCAAATTTAGTTTTGACATTATTGATTTACACACATTTTGTCGTTCATCGCATCCGACATGTCACTGTGGGGGATTTATTATTTGTAACAGGGTAAGATAGGGATATGCGCAAGAATGCACGAGACGTAGGCGAGATCATTTAAATTTTTAAGCAAACATCCCTGTTCCATGTTAGTCATTACCTCGTTTAGACCCATCTCCGAAGTTAAGTTATATCAACGGGAAATTTCTTTGAATGAATTCACTTGCAAATAGAGGTTTATATTACCGTAAGAAAATGTAAAGCTATGACGTCATAACAACCTCTAATTTGAATAGTGGTGATTCATAACACGCAATAACGGGAAATGCGTAGTCCTTTATTTCAATTATTAAACCCCAGAACAATTAAATATACATGCAGACGAATTCGACAATGTGGTAGATGGGTTGTAGACGATTCTATTTCACTTACGCTGATAGATAATAATAATAACCAGGATTTCCTAATGTGAAAATTATAGAAAGTTCACAAAGACAGTACAGCGGGACTATCGACCGACGCGTAGCGGAGGTCGATGCGACGGCATACTGTCTGATTTAGAGAACTATTTTACGGGGTATTTTCATCCTACTATATAAGGAAATGCGAATTCCAAATATGGAACGATTACGCACCTAAGCGTCCTCTAATGATAAAAACAAACATGGTGGTCCCCTGGGTTTGACCGGACTCCATACAAAGAAGTGAGCTGATTCTGCTCTAAACCAAGAATTCGGCATTCATATGACGTATCCGTGGAAGGAAAGGGTGTATAATAATAAGTTTATTACGAGGATACCTCAAGGTATGCACTCGGACCTGAAAAGAGGCATGTTCCGAGGAGACATGTCTTTTAACGTTTTGTACTTATAGAAAACATTTTACTAATGAGCATTTGATTTCATACGAACCTTGTTACTGTAACTAACCAAGTCGTCATACCCTATCCATTCATTTCCATTCACAGCATACGGCACACTTTGCTCGGTATCCCAATATCGAGTTGCTCCGCTCTCCAGCAATATGCATATCTAATAGAAATAATTTATATAGATTATATAGAATTAAATTCATTTTTGACCCATAAACAAAAAAATGTTTTTAAGGCCGAAATATATGTTGTAAGCGTCGCAAAAGTGTTTGAATTATCTTGATGAATTTCGACGTTTGAATAATTTCGGTACGCCCTCTAGCCTCTGGATTACTTAGTGAGGTCAGAACGAAGGAGACTGTCACAATGTAGTTGTCATCGATTTAGTTTACCTCATAGTATGCCAGGAATCCTGCCTCGCCAGTGTAAGGACCAGCAGATCCAACTCCGCTAATCGGTGCTCCCATGCCGGTGTTTGATGAAGATAATATGAAATTTCTTCCGTATGTAGGCATGCCTACTAGTAGCTTTTCTCTCGGACAACCACCATTCAGCCAATTATTCACCGCCCATTCCTAGAGATATATAGTTAAGTTGTAGAATTACCCGGTGCTATAAGTCTTACTTTGACGGTTGGTTGGTGTATACAACGCGGGGTGTCCGCCATGTTCGAAGCACGACAAACTATGATCGTATGCTAGCATAATTATTGATTCATAATAATTGTAATAATAATTAATAAACTTGAACATACCACATTTAATGTTGCCGCACTGCCATTAGCCCCACGCTGTGCGTACAGGGGGCTATTATGCCTAGTAGTATATTCTCGTGCTCTGTGTAGATCGTATGACATCACTCCGACCCAGTCTAACACCCTGCAAAATACGCGAGAGTTCATATTCTTATTTGAGGAGATTTAGCTGAACTTTACCACCGCTTACATTCTTAAAATTGTCTGCATCTTTGATTTTACTTAAATGGGGAACACCCCCACTAGAAATCGGCTTTTGGCTTATATTACTGTACCCGTCCACCACACATACATGTGCGTATAGGACCATGTACGCAGGGAATGCGATGCAGTGGGAGCAGTGCAGTTACTATTAATAAATCAGATGTAAATTCACAGTATATATACCATGTGACTATAAGAATATTAAATTCGAAACAATATTTCCAAATTGTAATTAAGTAATTCCCGTGAGCCATTATCGTCACCCATACTTCAGCCCATTTCATCCGAGACAAAACACTATACTCAGAACCGTTCATCGACGATACATGCGTATCTACTCACTGGGATATCTCGTTGATTTCATAACCACCAGAAACGACATCTTCTCCTGCCGCAACGGCAGCGGTCAGCAAAAGTTTATCCTTGCCTGCAGGTATAGTCTCAGTTTCAATAGCATATCTGAATTCCTGGAAAACACAAACATTACGAGATTAATGTTTCAAGATTAAGCATGTATTTTAGTAATTGTATAAAGGAAATCCGATACGGGATTGTTAAAACCTTCTACTCCCTTTGAATTCAAATACAGCCTTTCCAAACGTCATCAATCGGTAGAATAATCCTACTGGTAAACAGTGGAGTATAAATGACTGGTTACCTGTAACAGTAAGGTGAATCTGTGCTTGTCCTCGGGTGGGCTATCTCGTGCTCCAGGGTACATCCAAACAATGTCAAAGCCATCAAAATTGTTATCACGTAAAAAGATGATAGTGGTTGAGATAAAGTGTTGTCGGTTGGCTTGAGTAGACACCATAGCCGATAGTTTCGTCGTGCCAAACGTCCATCCACCAAGAGAAATCAGGGTTCGCAGGTCAGAATTGCTTTGTTTGTGGTCATTAACCTTTTCCCACATGCCCTGAAACAATCAAACGTTAATTAGGTTCAGTATAATTTGTTGACATTATGTTATTTAGGGAATAAAGAACGCAATATTGAATGGGAAGAAAGGGTATGTAGCAAGATGATTAATCTTAATGATAAGTTTGCTTCAAAGCATTAAAACTTACATACATGCTGTTGTAGATAGATCAGGGAAGGATAATAGATTATAATATTCTGTTACCTAATTTGCATATTTATTACAGTTAGCAGATTTTTCTGTATCAGACATATACAAAAAGGTCATTCACGGTATCAAATACCAGACCAGAAATATGCCTTTATTAGGAGTGTTCTTATATTAGTTTTGAATCAATCAACTCAATTAATTTGCATAGTTGGCATGTCCGGTTGTTCATATTTAGCTCATATATCATATATGTTAGAATACATGTCAATGTGAGTTTGTAAAAACTGGCCGACTGGCAGTCATTTCCGTTTTTGGTTCTACAACTACATTTCTGTCACCTATGTAGTGTCGTGTTCTTTGATATTTAGAAAATGTGGCATTAATAGATACATGTTCATATGATTCTCTTTTTGATTTGATTGAAGGCCGTCTAGTGGACATCTTTTTGTTCCGAAAGCTGATATATTAGACATAGTTCTTTTTTAAAATTAGATTAAAATTATACAATTTTACGTGTAATACTTATGCATGCCGATTCGTTAGGTGATCGGACCAAAAATGGTCACTACTGGTAATTCTGCTTTCTGGTCATGCTACTATGTCGCCGATATTCAGTTATCGTTTTTGTCACATACAACAATTAATAGAAGCTATTTACGTGCATGTTTTACTAAAAATAGAGAGTTTCAATGTACACGGCATTAAATCGTTGATTTGTTCTCATCAAATACTTTAAAAAGTAGGTCCTTACCAAAATAATCTGTCTGAAAATGTGCATCTCATTTTTAAATTAAATATTTAATCTACAAACTGGTCCGGTGAAGAAAAACATTAAAAAAGAAATAGTTGTTTCATTTTTTTTAAATTCCTCACCTTCGACCAGTCAGTGGATTCATCGTTCCACTCATAAGCAATAATTTCGTGGTCATTATTCAGTTTGGCAAAGGCATACACGATATGGGTACACAGATAGGGGTCGATGTCCTCAGGTTTGAATGAACCAATCCCAGGACGGTATTGGGCCCAGTTTGAATAATAGCATACTCGCCTGAAATTACCGTTATAATCTGTAAAGAAACATGTTGTAAGATCAATAGAATGTTGACCATTCGAAAAACCCACAGAATCGTATTATGGTATTATGACATGTATTATGGTTCGTGTCTATATGTGTATATACATTGTGCACATGCTTCGAGAATGAACACAACTCATTATTAGAATGTTGAATCAACGATGCAAGGAAGACGCTTATTTAGCCATGCTTTATATGTTGAATTAACCACATTTTCAGGTGTCTGATGTATGTCTTGCTATGATGAATACAAGACATTCGTATTACCATCCGTACTAACCTTGTTGATGGCTAGTAGTAACCATGGCAAATAATAGTAAATATGTCAGCCAAGTCATCTGCAAGAAAACAAAATACAGTCCGTCATTAAACGATGATTTTTCATAGGCTCATGTTATGTCCCACTTCACGCACTTCACACTTCACGCACTTCACACTTCACGGCACTTCAATCAAAATGTTTTGACCACAGTGGTTAGCCTGTACACAATACTTTGTCGTCGGGATAATTGGGACATTCATTGCCAAAGTAACAACAAAAGTATGACACGATTTAATGTCTCGCTTGGAAGTTACAATATTTTACTAAATGCATGTGGATAAATGCAACATATTTAGACAAGGACGTGGACTTGTACACAGACTTGTGTCACAATATTGACAGAGATTCTCATACATGTTGCATTCCCATGATATTTGTCAAGTCATGCATCGTCAATGCAAGTATATTATGGGCATATATCCTACCGAATAGTAAACACATTATGTTTATAAATATGCTGTAGTAAGCATTTGCAGGGCTATTAGTCAGTAGCATGTTCCTTTGCCATCTCTAGATATTTAACAGAGGTTGTAAGTGAGAAGTTAGAGTTGGAAGCCCGGGTACATTTGTGACCGACTGTCTAGTAATAAAGTTTGATTGCTTTAAGTGAGCATTATATGCGTCGATGCAACCGGTACCTCTACAGTCTATAAAAAAACTCATGGTAGACATGCTATTCATAAGACCTGGAAATATAGGGATAGGGAACATGCCATACAAGTCGTGTCATGCCTTGTGTCATTAGCCAAATCTTGTCACATTTTTAGTACAAAAGGTCAAGGTTATACTATGTGTTTTTTTCTCAATATCACCACAATTGTAACAAAAACCAAAACCCTCGAAATTGACACGCGTACCCCCACAACATGGGTACAATTTCGGGTTAGAGTCAATGTCACAGTACGTGTTTAGTATTCAAACTACATGGGAAATACCTAGAGCCTTCAAACACGGCAAACATGCTTACCACTTGATTACATATTCAGTACAACAGGATTACAATTCAAAATATGTGTACCAATTATAACTACAAGGGGAAAATAGTAAATGCTTTCTTAATACTCAGTTACAAGAACAACGAGTCAAAGGTCAATGTCATATCGTGGCAGTGCAGGTGTAATGATCTATATCTCTATACTATGTAATTCAAATCCCGGCAACCTGATTGGTCCATGCAAGCAGACAGGCATTTTGATATCATGACTGGCTGTCGCTCACTATATTTTACAAAATATTTCATAAAATGGATTGATACACGAGATACACAGGATACCAATAAGATGGCTCATAACAAATGAAATTACCACACTCGTTTAATAAATTTGAGTGGCACATAAGATTTCCTTCATAACAGAGAGTTTTCACCTAGAAGGCAGCGAACAATATATAAATATGCTCTGCGGGCAGGGCATTATCTAGATATTGCATTAATAATGCCTTGCACTGAGACAATCGACTAGAGAATGCCCCACAGAGGGAAAAGTTTATGCGCAGTATATGCGCAGTGTGTACTATATCTCTGAATCGCAATACGGTAAACTAACTATAGTCGGCGCTTATGCAAGACGATCGGTTATGCGAACTACGCTCTACGATCTTGAATACTCTCACGTAAACTACGATCTCTGCTGCGAAATAGACACATGGGATGAATCGGATATCAAATTTACGACCTTGCATTACCAAAAAATTGAACTACGCTCTACGATCTTGAATACTCTCACACAAACTACGATCTCTGCTGCGAAATAGACACATGGGATAAACAGGATATCAGTTCGCGACCTTACATTACTAGATTTTTTAGCACTCGTTTAACAAAGTTGATATAGTAGGGTCACTCATAAGATAACCTTTGTTTCTCAAACCATTGGAACTCTCAACAAATTCAACGAATTTACCACACAGACCGGATGTGGTACTGGTCCGTTCCATATAAAGTATGAAAACATGCAATTCAGGACGTCAACTGTCGGCATATTTAGACTGAAAAGCGAGGAATCTACAAAGACGCGTCCAACTGTCGCCAAGTATTTGAAAGTGGTATTATACATAGAAAACAGCAATTAATTTACTGACAAAAAATAATTAATTAATTATAAAAATAAATAACCAGAGCCGACGGTTACTGAACTGAAAAACACGTGTTCATCTCAATCACATTTTGAAGACACAAGTCGAAAAGAAAAGTTGGCAAACATTTTAACTAACCTGTTAAATTTTTCAACTGGAGTTCTTCTACGTTGTTTCCAAAGGCCAGTCAAGTGGCCAGTCAATCGCCCAGTAATCTTTTATCACGAATGTTATAACTTAATAATAACCTCCACAATTCGAAATAAGACCCGATATCCTCGATGAATATGTCTTGTCCGTATCCTGCTGGATCTTGTCAATACTTTCATCTCCTCATATAGCGCCCTCACAACAACTGGTGTGAGATTAATAATTAGGGATTCTGTCTGCAGAGCAATATTGTCCGTCCGCCATCTTGGTATAAACTCTCGTGTCGATTTTAGAGATTATGAATGTCTAGTAGGATATCTCATAAGCAACAAAAAACTTTTTAAACGAGTGTGGTAATTTGTTCCGAAACTGTACCCAGGTTTTGTGAGTGACATGATAAGTTTGTTTGTCAATTACGAGGGCTAATATGACCTTGAACCTTTGTACTAAAAATGTTATAAGTTCTTATGACACAGGGGACTTGTATGGTATTTTTGAAGTTGCTGAAACTCGTACTCAAGCAAACTAAATGAACGGTTCGACGTGTTTCATTGCTTGCCCCGAGGGTGGTGGTCATTTCAAGCACAATGTTTAAGAGTGTGTCGCCCAATTATATTTGACCTCATCCAATTGCAGACAACTGTTTTAGTCTCACATTTCCTTTTCCACCAAATGTCGTCGGATAAATCTGAGGTTGTGTGGAATCTATAAAAACTCGCCTCACGTGTGACCACTTCATTCTGGTAATTCTGAGTAAAAATCACGCATGCGTACGCTTAACATTGTTTTCAAACCTATCACGTTTCTGATGATTTGATTTATTTCTGGGTATGTACCTTATAACCTTCCTAAGTATGCACCCTATATTTTCAGTTAACATGTCAGTTTCATTCACACAAGAGGGCTTCATTATTTCACAGGTCTGTTATAACGTTTATTAGGATTAGGTTTCCAATAATTTAACTATTTTAGAGGGAGTATAAACAGCTGTCTCCAGTGCATGTCCAGCTCTTTACTGTTAATTCATGAAATAGATACAACAAACGCACATGTCTAACCGCTCGAGAAACATTCATGATGAAGATACTTGACAACATTGTCAAATGTCGTGGCCGATCAGAGAATTACCACTGAGATTACAACTTCGTGTTTCTATTTGAGATAAAATCTCATTATAATCGAATATATACAGAGTATTTAGGATCAAATATATTGCCTGTGTTGATATGGGCTGATTAAAACAACTGTTGAAAAGTACTACTTTATTACCAGATATAAGGGACGGATCAGTTAATATAGCCGGGGCTGGGCCGGCAAATTCCGGAGGGGGGGGGGGTCCTTATTTTTAAAGTATCAGGAGTTGGGCCAGTTTTTTTCAGACAGCATTTGAGGGGGTCACCTTATTTATGAAATATTGCAAAATATAAGTTACAACATGCCATACTTTCTTGACAGAAGTATAAGCTGTTACTTTCTTTCCAGGCTGGTATTATCTGCAATGTATTTCTATAGCATTTCGAAATTATTACACTAGCAATATCGGTATTTTAATTATAATTTATTGCGGTTCACCACAGAAACAATATATGGCGTATGACAGCAAATGATATAAAAACTTGTGAAATGGAATATTAACAATATTGCAACAATTAATGCCAACACATTAAATGTGAAAAGAACACAACACGCGCTGTTGCTTTAGGGATGTTGTAGAGGTTTTTTTCTTCAAAAATATCAAATTTACTTTTTTTCTATATTCTCTTATACGAATATGTAAAGCATGCATTCAACTAGAAAAAACAATTGTAGCGATGGTTTAGGAGGATAATACATTTTGTGTAAATCTGAGATACAGTGTGTTTTATGTTTTTGTGATTTTTCACGCATAAAAAAAATCGGTATTTGGGGTTAGTCTAGAGAGTTGATCTCGACTGCCAGCTGCTCCACGGCAGTGATTTTGGCATAGGTATTCTCTGATAGCTGCTAATGAAATCTGGCAAAGGTAGATTGTCTACCACTTTGACTTTAGAAAATACGACACAAATCTCCCCTTTGAGAACTGTGATATGGGGTATCATATTTAAAAACAACGCTGACGATGTTTTTAAAAAGTGTTATGAGGTAAAATTCTAGGTCACAACAGTAGACGATCTGGGAAGTTGAATTCAAATCTTTTATAGTTTCTCTAAGTACCACGAACATCATTTCTGTGGCCTTATTTCGGTTTCCACGAAAATAACACCTCTCTATTTGCACAGTGATCACGTGATTACATGGTACCATTTTGTGTTGGAATATTTATCTCATATTATTTGAAAAATAAGCTTTCTAAAAATATATAACTTGATGGGTTTCAAAAAATGAAACATCCTTTTTTTCCTTCTAACTTTGCTCTGCTCCTACTTCTTCATCCTCCTCCCCTCTTCCTCTTCTTCTTTCTTTCTTCTTCCACTGTGAGGACGTGTCTGAGAAGAGCTCTGTCATATTGACTTTTTTCTCAACTCTGCAAAGAGTTTGCCATACAAACTTTCCACTGAGTGTTCAGTAAGTATTTTTCTCTGTTCGTATTTAGTTTTTATTGTATATTGTCATTTCTTTGGTGGTAATTGTTGAATTTATTTTTTCTGGTGGGTTCAGTGCAACGGCGTGCCAAGATGGCCGCCCCCACAAACAAAACACCTGTGGCACTTTCACAAAAACATGCTGTGAGATGCCCGTCCTTTGAAGACTATTCTGTCGAACATATGTTGTAGCTTTGGGTGAGGTGGTCGGAGATGGAAATATTATTGCTGCCTCACGTATGAATCACTCTGTCGTTGTTTATTTGTCCTCAGTGTCATTAGTTGAACAGCCAGTGGCGACTGGCATTGTTATTAAAAGTCAATTGATTAATGTGGAACAAATGGTCAAACCTGCAACAATGGTTATAATTTCGAACGCTGCTCCACCCTTTATTGGGAATAACAGTATTGCGAATGAATTGTCAAAATATGGACGGGTTATGGTGGTTTCCGAACTATCCCACTTGGATGTAAATCGCAATTGCTAAAACATGTACAGTCTTTCAGGAGACAAGTTTTTGTGTTACTGAAAAAAGAATATGAACATCTTAATGGGCTAATACATGTTATGTTTGAAGGTCGTCCATTTTCTGTTTATATCTCCACTGACGAAATGCGCTGCTTTCATTGTAAAAATACCGGGCATGTTAAAAGAAACTGCCCCAATCGCAATACTGAAATCACTGAACAAACCATAGAAAGTGTTACAGAAACAGTCATGGATAAAACTTGCCCCAAAAATCAAAGTTACCTAATGAAAGTGATGATATTGATACGTCTGATAACGAATCAATCTCATCGGAAGTATCCGACGATCACCATGACATCCCAGATGATAAACTGATACAATTCAGCAAACTCATAGAGTTACTGGATAACATAAAAGGTTCAAAGAAAATGCTTGACCGATGCCTGGAGTTTTGCTCAAATGCGCGTTTACTGGGTAAATCATTCAGAAAACTTCGCGAAAATGGTCCTGTATCACTACAGGAAAAAGCGAGAATACATAAAATTGAAATTAAACTGTTGAGACACAGAATGTCAATCCAGAATCAAAAGAAATTATAATGATTAACACAGCTCTTATTTGTTTTTTGATGAGTAGCATAACTATCTCCACCTGGAATGTTAATGGCTGTCTTCAACTATCTCAAGATTATTCACAATGCCGATATTTACTTTTTGCAAGAGACTCATTCTCTTCTTGGTGATGAGGGCAGATGGCAAGTTGTCTGGCGTGGACAGGTATTGTTTTCACATGGCACTTCAACATCTGCGGGTGTTGCTATTTTAGTACCATACAATAAGAATATTTGCATAAATTCATCACAATGTATTGTTCCAGGTCGACTACTGTGTGTTAATGCGTCCGTTAATGGGCAAAGGTACAATTTTCTTAATGTTTACGCT